ACAGCCCCCCCCCCCTGCGACAGGCTGCTGATCGCGCCTGGCGACCGCTCCTCCCCCACCACACCGGCGGCTTTGAACACGTCGTAGCGGAAGTCCGGGCTCTGCTCCGACACCACCGACCCCATCCTCATTAATTGAGTGGCCTCGTAGCCGTAATTAGCGGGAACCTGCGCTTCATCTACATCTTTGACAGCTCGCATGCAATCTGGAACGAATCTGAGCGCGAAATCGACGGCATCGGGCTCATAGTACATCCTTCCCGCCACCTCATCAACCTCCACTGCCATCTCCAACGGCAGCACACGGAAAGTTCGTCGAAATCTCTTGTTGAAGATCAAACTCGTATACAAGGTAATGAAGGGAAGAGGGAGGGAGTAGGCCATTTGCATGTAGCCCTTCTTCATCAAGAACCCTCCTGCCAAGGTCAGCTGCGCAATGATCAGCGCCGTGAACACGCAGTCGACGAAGTAGGGCCACAGCATGCCCCCCGTTTGGTAGGGAAACGAGTACACATACATGATCTGATGCTTCCATACAAAATAACCCATGAAGGAGTACAGAACCACGAAGGGGACAATCAGAGGTGAGAGGATGGCAAACACAACCCCGAGAGTGATGACAAACATCTGGTAGGGAACATAGGTGGAGTAGGTGATGCCGCCGGGGGACCAGAGCCCCTCCGCGTCGGCTATGGTCTTGTCGACGGTCCGCAGAGTGTAGAAGTACTTGAACAGCGGGCCAGGGATCCGTAGCAGCTCCAGACAGAACCCTAGAGAGCTCACCAGCACGTAGGAGATGAAGAAGGACGACGCCCTCGGGATTGACGAGCCGAGGATGTCGAAGAGCGCGACCGGCTTGTGCACGATAGTTCTCAAATAGTTCATCAAAGTATCGGTGAACGTGTAACCGAGGAAGAGGTTGAACAGCAAGACGAAGTAGTGCTTGGTGCAGGTCCGAAGCTCCGCTTCGCTGTACGAGACACAGCCTTCTTGCATCGAAAGCCAGTAGAGTATCTTGGGGATCACCCACCAGAACACGCGCAGAGCGACACCTGGCAACAGGGGGGCGATTAGCCGCTTAACGGCAGGGTGATTGTCCAGATCGCGGAATGCGGACAAGTGTTTGGAGAGGAATTTGATGTCCGTGTACTTGGTCAGGACTCCCACAGGCGCGTAGATGAACAGGATGATGAAGACGACGGCGCAGCGAACAGCGTGGCGCCTGAACACGCGCTGCCACATGCTGAGGGCAACGTTGCCCCAGTGAACATCGGATGGCTCTGGCGCCATGAGCACCTGCCATTTGGTGCCCAAGGCGGCGTGCGACGTCTGTGCGGCAACGGTCGCGACCGTGCGGCTCTTGAACGAGATGAAAGCCGAACCCGCGATGCGATCGCGCCGCGCCGCCTGCTGCTTCTTCCGCAGTTTGTCGGTCAGCAAACGCACCCTCTCCTCCCAATAAGCCACGCTCTCCACTCTCTTTCCCCAAAGCCCCATAAAACCAGTCCTATGTGTCAATCGATTCCCCGCTTCTGGCCCCCCATCCGCACACACCGACGACGAACTCCCCTCTCCTCCTCCTCCTCCTCCTCCTCCTCCTCCATAGCCGCCGCCATAGCCGTCTTCTCGTTGCTGCTGTTGCTTCTGCTGTGGTTGAGCAGCAGAAAAGAACGAAGAGGTGGTGCCTCCTCCCCCCGTGCGCCGCGTCCCGCCGATGACGCCGGGATCGCTACTGTACGACAACCGAGTCCTGCCTGAAGAGGGAGCGCCGGAACGCTGCACTGCTGACTCAGCAGCAGCAGCAGCGGCGGCGCATTCCTCCTCGTCCGTACGCTTCGTCTTATCCTCCTTATCGTTCGTGTCATCAACCCTATGACCACGTGGAACGATGCGCGCCGCCATCGCCGATGGCCAGGGTGATTGACTTCCGGCCGAGATCTCGGCAGCAGCAGAGGTCGCGGTCGCCGGACCTACCCCCGACCGCAACGGCCTCCTCCTGCTACCGGTCGCTGCTGCTTCTCCCCCACTTCGGATTGTCCCGTTCGGCCACAGGTTGCACAGGAGCAACCACCTCCTCATCAGACTCGATCCATCTCTCGCGCCACCAATCCATCGTCTCTTGTTGCCACGTGGCCGCTGCTTAGACGTCGTAGGTGTTCTTGCTAATGAGCGCATGCGGTCATCATCGTCGTCATCGTGCATTACGCGTTCTTCTCGTCGTTTTCTCCGTTCCTCGTGGCTGCTGGGGGTAGTAGATTTTCGCGCCTCCTCCTCCTCCCGACCGTGACTCTTTTTGCGATCATACAAGACGACGGGTAGCTGCTGCGCACCGTCGCCATCTATTGCCCCGTCCGTATCCCGTCTGACACGTGTCATCCGATCCGAGCTGACGTAATCACTCTGGGACTGGTCCAGAAACGCGGCGATCTCCTCTCTTCTCCCTCCACGATCCGGATCCGGACCGGGAGAAACCCTCCCCATCCCGTCCCTTCTACCCCTCCACATCCCGATCCCGACCCGCTTTCTCGCTCTCGCCGCTGCGACAGCCCAAGCAGCTCCCACCCACCTGCTCATCCTCGTCATCAACCCCTCTGCACCTCCCATGATAACTCCTCCTCCTCCTCCTCCTCCTCCTCTCCTTCCTCCCTTCACCTCCACTTCTCCACCCCTGGCGGTAATCGGACTACTCGACTTGGTCTTCTTGCCTCCAAGCGCCGCCGGATTGCACGACGACGGCTTAATCTCCTCCTCCTCCTCCTCCTTCTCCTCCTCCTGGTGCTCTTCCAGGAGGTGCTGGCGCTCTTCGACGTCCGCACTGATCCCGATCATCGTCGTCGTCGTCGTCTGCCGCCCCGACCTCTTCTTCATCATCATTTCCTCCGTCGCTCTGGCGCGCTGCAGCGCTGTCCACGCTTCCTGCCATTCCTCGAATTTTCCTTGAACTTCAGAGAAGCGGTACACGCATTGATGAGTCAGATAGGAGTCGGGATACAGTCTGCCGAAGTAGCTGTCGATCTGGGCGGAAAAGCTTTGGCCGACGAAGCTTTGGAGGCGCGGCGGCACCGGGATCGCGCCCGCCGTCACCGTCCCCAGCATCTGAAAGCACCTCTTTCCCGCCATCTGGATCCGGGAGAAGCGTTGGCGCGCTTTTTTTTTCAAAATTCCCCGCGCACTTGTACTGCTCGCCCCATCCTCCTCCTCCTCATCATCATCATCATCATCATCGTACCGATCACGCATATACTTCGGCACGCGGGGAATATCAGTCACAAGTAACGTGAACTCCTCAGGATAGAGTTGAGTGGCGCGCTTCTTCAAGAACGACCGTCTCTGGAAGAACACCTGCCGGTAATGAAACCAAAGGAGAATGACAGTGATGGCAGACAGCAAGTAATTGCAGCAAAAGGGTGCCCACAAAACGCGGGAAGCCTCAGGAATATGCACATAACTGAAGGAATCAAGATGAGAATAAGTACTACCGGTAGTAGAAGTAGGAGTAGTAGTAGAATTGGTGGTAGATTGATCGTTAGCTTGGTCGGTGTGTTGTTGTTGTTGTTGTTGTTGTCGGAGTGCCTCGCCTGTGCGATGAACGGGGAGGAGGATGATTAAGGCGGGAATACCGAAGACGAGGAGTAATTGGATGGTGAAGAGGAACATTCGGAGGAAGACGGCGGCGTCAAGACCCGCTCGGTCGATGATGGAGGTCTCATCAGTGGTCCAGACGGGCCAGAGCCAGGCAAAGGAATGATCGAGGGGGCGATCGGGAAACAAGGCCTCCGGACTGACACGAGTCGAGAAAAGTCGACGAAAGAACTCCTTCCGATGTAACATCGAGAAAATCAACACGGCGACTAACAAGCACACAATGTTGAACCCGAACATGTAAACAAACATAAGCCCCGCGTCAGTCGCCTCCATGATCGCCTCCCACCTCGCTTCTTCCTTCGCATCTCCTCTCTCTCTCTCTTACCCAATCTCTCTCCCTCTCTTACCCAATCTCTCTCTCTCTCTCTCTCTCTCTCTCTCTCACCCAAACTCTCTCTCTCTCTCTC